GGAGTGATGGTTTTTTTTTTTTTTTTTTCATTTCGTTTACCCGCGGTCCAGCGGTCGTCTACAAAGATTTCGAGTAAAACCGATTTCGGTTTTCATTCAGACTAGCAACCCCTACAGTAATCGACAATTTTCGCAAGTCTAACGTTTAATTTCGTTTCGCATTTTTCCCAGTCAATTGTCGCTGAATGATCATGACTAAAGGACGGATTTCGATGCACTAAAAATGCTTTAATATATATGTATGTTCTAGTCATTCGAATATGATTCAAAATATGCAACAAAACATCAACTAATAGCGCATAAAAAATTGAAAAAAGATATTGATAGCCGATATAAATGTGTATATTAAAAACGAAATAATAAAAAAAAAAAATAAAAAATAAACTCGCTCTATCTTATTGGTAAATTGATCGGACTGACTTAGTTTTGAAATTAAAGGTTTCTGAAGTTCTGGTATTATGCGGATATTGTATATCATGTTAAATAACTAAATGTCGTCAACTCTATAATATGTTTATCGTAACTGAATGGTTAGTACCTAGTACCTAGTTTCATCCTAGGGTTCGCGAGTTCCAAACCCCGTGTTTCGAAAAATGATTTTTGCATTTATTTTTTCCCTTTCACCTAAACAGGGAAAAAACAAATGTATTTTAGGTGTACCTAGAGACCCACCTATCGCTCGCCCGGACTATTTTACTCGACAAATACCCCTCGATTCGCTGTGCAAACTTTTCTACCGGCAATTTTGCTCCGATTTACAACGATAGCACTTTTTACGAAAGGAAATCCGACTAAAAATGCATGTTGGGGAGATCATTTTCCCAAGAGTTTTCCCAGCAAATCTGAAAAACCAGGTAAAAACACGGGAAAACCGGGAAAAACGGTACAATATTAAACAAATATTATTAATGACAATATTTAATTATTTACTATAATATGACGTTATATTGTTGACAAAGCATCACTCTATCAACCGAATTGCGCGCAGATTCGTTTTTTCGTTAGCAATGGTTTGTCGTCGCTTACAGGTATACATTGAATTACCTATAACAGTGGCTGCACCCCATGTCCATTATCCTGAGACGACTTTTTCCTATTGTCGATTAAAGTCGAAAACATTCTATAATCCGTTCGAATTATTGTTTTTTTTTTTTTTTTTGATAAGTTTTCCGCTTTGTAACTCGGCGTAAAAATATATGTAATTTCGATATGAAATTGTAACGAAACCGAAAATAATCGGCTTAGTTTTAAGACGACGGACACGGGCAGGATATCATAACCCTCCTTCGCGCACATCCCCATAACCTTACCCAACCACGTATTATCGTACAATAATGACAATAATACTGATATTGTGTTTTGTTCTGTTTCCAAGGTGGTCTGTTTATTATACCGGAGAACGTCGCCGCAACATTTAACCCGAGATGACGTATAATAATAATAATAATAATAATAATATGTTCCTTTATTAATATTGTGTATTCATCATACAACCTCATCACGGAGATCTGTTCAATTTTTATGTGTTACGTACATTTTACATACATTACGATTATAGTAATATTTTAATTATACATAGAATTTTTTTTTACAACGTACGGGTTTAATTCGATAATTTTTCATTGTTAAAACAATATTATTACAATGTTGATAGCGTATAGACAATAATAATAATAATAATATGACGCGTTACGTAAAGAACCGATACCGTTCGGTGTTCGTTTTTTTTCCGTATTTACGTGAAGACATGACAAGTTTTTAATGTAGGATACATAATAGTATATAGTATAGGTATCGTCTATACATTATATTTTTAACCATCGTCGGTGCTTTCGTTTCGTTTTTTTTTTGTTTTTAGATTTCAAAAAGTTTAATATTGTATAAGGTATAGCGTAGCGACGTTCGATTTTTTTTTTTTTAATTATACATTATTATCGATAGACAAAAAAAAAAAATACGACAACGATTAAGGGGTACCATTATCGTTCGAAAAATTAATAAATTATAGATTTTTTTTGTTTTTTTTTTTTCTACGCGTTTTTAATTATAGATAAATGTATAAATATATATATATTTTTTTTGTTTGTGAAACGTCTGTTTATACCTGTTCGCGTTTTTTATATTATGTATTTTTTATTGTTGAATAGAAAATTAATTGTTATTTTAGGTGAAACGTCATTTTCGTCGTAAAATTAATGTCAATTATTATAATAATATAATATTATATTTAATTATGTATAATACTCATCTACAATTATTCTGTTTTTGTC